TCTGCTATCTAAAATTTCGTGACATGTCAGAATCCTTCAGCAATTTGCCCTCACATTTGATCCCTTGAATATTTTCCAGAGACTGTACCTCTGAGGAATATTATCACAGCACCAAGCCCACATGCCAGCCAGATTCCTCACTGTGCTGTGAAGGGGAAGAGCAGGGCTGTGCATGTCTCTGGAAGCTGATTGCTGTCTGCTCTGCCTCCCTTGTGCCTCCCTGCAGACATGGGTGTACCCCACCACTGGTGGAGCCCTCAGGCTAGTTTTGGAGCTCCTCCACATGCAGAAGAGTTACAGCACTGAAATCCAGCCTTTTATTTACAAGCTTTCCATTAAATATGACACAGACATAAAACTTGTTTTAAAGCCTTATTGAGCACATGTGCTTGTTGTGTGTCCTTTCCTGGCTGAGGGAATGTGCATGAAGAAACAGCCCATCATCTCCTCCTTGTGAGGATACAATCAGTGACTAATGTGTGTAACAGGGTCTTAGAGATTCCTGGAACTGAAAAAAATAACAAACACTGTAAAAAATTACAAAACAAACTCATGTGAAAAAATTATTTTTTCTTCATCCACTAATTTGATTTTAAATTTAACCATATAGATTTTCTAGTGCTATAGGCTGAAAATCCAAGTAGCACTGACTAAGACAATAGTAACTATTTTGTGTGTCATGTTTGAATTAATGACTGAGACATTTTTGTTCTCAAATAAGTGTTCAATATGGAAATGTGCCTTCTGGGAATGCAAATAGACCACACAATGTATTTGACAATGATAAACAAATGAAGATTTGGACTGGTGTAATTAAGAACAGAAGAGACAAACTTGTGTGCGGAACTGATTTACAGTAAAATTCACATGCCTTAAAACCACAGATTAGATTGCATGTTGCTGGATTGTCAAACTGATATTTCAGTGTCTGGATTACCAGGTCTGCAGAATGCTATAAATTAGTTGGTAACTGTGGATCAACCTTTTATGGTGGAATTGTTTTAAACTTTAGTGGTGTCAATGGGAGGGAAGGATGGGATGAGGCGAGTAGTGGCTTAGGGCAAGAACTGGAAGCAAGTCTTCCCGAATACAAACATACAGAACTGCAAGCCATATAAACTACTGAAGAAGAAGGTAGGGTCTACCTTCACTGCAGTGTGGCTTTTCCAAAGCGTGCACCAATAGGTAAAGAATATGCTTGCAATGTGGAAGCAAAGAAAAAAGACTATTTGGGACATACGTAAGATGTTAGGAATTGTCATGTAGGATGTGGGAGTCATCATAAACTTCTGAGCAAAGCCAGCTCTGGTATTGTTAATGTCAAGAGCTCAATCATTAAAATCAGAGCTCTATCCCAAATTAGATTTCCTTCAAGTCAAAAAGCTTACTAAGTCTCATCACAGAAACAGACTAGTTCAGTTCTTTACTACTCCCTTGCCTCAATCAGCTAAATCTGATAAAAAAAATAATAATTAGGAAGCAGAGAAAGATATGAAAGAATCTAAATGTGATTTGAGGAATTTTGTCTTCCTTACAATTAATTAATTCTTAAAATGTGTAACAACCAGCAGATGTCTCTGCAGCCAACTGATCAGTGATGCACACATGAGGAAAAGCAGGGAGGGAGAATTTAATGAATGGGCATTTCTCTTAAAGGTTTACTTTCAGAAATGTCAAACCTACACAGAAAATGCTGGAAGAGCAGTCAGGGACTGACAGCATTACAGCAGCACTCCCTAGGAAGGAAAGAGCCTCTTACTTGATTTTACAAATACTAACGTGAATGCTTAAGAACTCTCTGCTATAAGATTAGTTAATTGAGAATAGTAAGTTCCTAGACATTAAGTCTTTACCCATATTTTTTGAGCTATTTTTATTATCAAAAAGGGCAAGCTTGTCTCTGCCACCCTGAGACCTGACCTGTGCCTGTGCGATGGGTTTCCACAGATGGGAACAACTGTTACAATCAGCCCATGCTCTGCTGCAATGCAAGACATGCAGCTTCAGGCTCTCCTTTGTTAATGTATACACAGAACCATGTGAAAAAATAGTACTTACCCTAGGAAAACAAGACACTCTGTTGTACATCAATTTCCCTCTGTGGGGACAGGCTGAGCTGGAAAATGAGCCAGATGATAGTTCCAAGTCACACTGTTTAATGCGCTGTGGTAAGGCACTTAAATGTTATGACTGTGAGAGAAATAAAAGGAGCTATCTGATACAAAGCTCATGTCTCTACCATTGTGAACTGATCTGTAAGCCCCATGAGTTGCTGACTTGCAGCCTGGGATCTCCTGGCAGTGTCATTTTTATTGAACCATGCTGATGTTCAGACTGCCTCCTTGCAGGTAGATTTGGGTGATGTTTGTGCCTTGTACAGAAGCAATCCTTCTTGCCACAAGGTTATTCCTGGATGGCTGGCTTTTGACTTGGGGCAAGTGAGGAAACACCTCAGGGAGTACAGCAAGAAGACAGAAACAGCCTGAAGCCATTTTTACACTTCCTGAGTCCTGGGTAGCCCAAGAACAAGTTACAATTGCCTTTAATGCAGCCTGCTTATGGACTGCTGTAAAAGCAGCACCTCTTCCCTCCTCTCACAGGTGACATGAAGTGAACCTTGGAAATGTAGAGAGGCTGTTGAGTATGAGTGCAGGTGTTGAATCTCTCCCATGCCATGTCAGTGTTGTGAGTGGTAGGGAGCACAGATCAAGGTTGCATGCTAAGGAAAGAACCCCTTACTCTGCCTGCTGTATTCCCTGACCTGTCAGGCTATTTGCGAGTTACAGCCCTTGCATTAGCAACTGAGTCTCTGGCAGTAACACCTGCATGCATATTTTTGCCACTTTATGGAAGGAAAATACTAGTACATAAACCACAGCTCTTGATTCAATTTTTGGAATATAATGTATATGTAGGGTCACAGTTTATCAACCGTCTTCTACTGATTTTCTAATATTTAAAATTCAAGAATCCCATTTCATTCAGGCAATGCAACAGGAAAATCCTACTGGACTTCTGGTTCTTGGCTGAAGATGCATAACAAATGTGATCTTTCCTCTCCTTCCTCTTTCAAATGAGGTAGTTGGTCATCCAATTTGCAGGGGAAGAAAGCCAGGTGATGGTAGACACCATTATTGTATGATGTATGTTTGTATAAAAGCTTTTTATTTTCCCCTTTCTTTAATTTCCATGAATTGCATTTTATTCCCTCCCTTTGTTTTAAACTAAGTAGCAAATTTTCTGTATGTTTTACCACTGTTTTATGAAAAGTCTGCAGTTCATACCTGTGATGCATGATATATGATATTGCCACAGGAAAAGTAGCTAGTGTTGTTACAGACCTTCATCTTAATTATGAAAATTTTTAATTTAAATGTAAGACTGAGCATACAAAATACAGTACTAAGCCATCTGTTAGTTTTCCATCTGGGCTCATTTGCAAAATATTCTCTGTTTCCCCCCTAAACACTATTTATAATCTTCCTTGGAAAACAAATATGACTAATCTATGGCACACTAAAGATAGCTATTTGCATGCAGCTTTTAATAGAAGCGGCTATATGGTTCAAAGTAGTAACAAAATATACTTATCTTGTTTTGCATGCAGGTGTAAAAGCTCACACGACTTCAAAATGTGTACCAAAAAAAAAAATCTTCCTATTATACTGTTTTTAACTAGCAAAAAGTGAAAATCCTCAAAATGTCTGATTTCAAGGGAAATTTACAGATGAGGATGAACAGTTAGCATCTTGAAGTCTCAGACCAGAGTTTTTGCAATGATTCAGAAGTAGCTTGTGTTTCTGGCTTGCTCAGTTTGAAATGTCCCCAGAGGCCTACTTTATGAAGATGAGAACTCAGGTCATTATAAAGTTTCTTGAGCTGAGTATCTCAAAATTTGGGTAATCACTAGTCATTTGGTCCAAATCTGTATTCCCCAGACCAGTAGAAGTATGGATAATGGATCTGGCTGTACTTTGAAGCAGCATGCATGGAAGATGTATGCATGGGCCTGATTCCCTGCCACACTCCAAAACCTCATATGGGGCACTACCAGTGTAATCCAGATGATGGGCAATGTGCTGCTGTCACATCCTATTTTTCTCTGTCCACTTAGCACTGCAGACAGGTGAAGGCCTTATTCCTTGCTGGTTACTCCTTAATTACTCCTTTACACCTTTGAGCCAGGTATCATGAAGGCCCTTCTTAGGTCATCCTATTACATCACCTTTGGTCAAACTCTATTTGAGAGTTTACAGAGTAGAAAGCAAGGATGGACTTATTTCAAGGGCATAATGATTTGAAGGGCAACTATTCAGTAATATCTTACTCCCCTCTTCATCTCTTCATTTTTCAGTGGATTGAAAAATGCTGTCAGACTCGCTTGGTTATAATCCTTCACTAAAGGGCAAAGGCTGATTTCTCCTCACGCAAAGTTCTAAACAAGTTCCTTGCACCATCACGTGGAGTCTTTTGGCAGGGGGGACTAAAACTAGAACAATTGTGTTCTAGAAAATGCATTTTAATAGTCTGGAATAAGTTGCCAAGCTCCCTCACATTGCCCCTTGTCCTCGTTTTAGCTGGGATAGAGTTAATTTTCTTCATAGTAGCTGGTGCAGTGCTGTGTTTTGGCTTTAGTCTGAGAACAATGCTGAGAACACACAAATATTTCAGTTATTGCTAAGTAATGCTTACCTTGATCAAGGGCTCTTCAGTCTCTCATGCTCTGCCTGTGAGAAGGGGCACAAGAAGCCAAGAGGAAGCTGGTTAGGATACCTGACCCAGATTAGGCAAAGGGTATTCCACAGTACGTCATGCCATGCCCAGTATGTAAACTGGGGGGAGTCACCCGGAAGGCTCAGATAGCTGCTTGGGTTGGGGTGGGTATCAGTCAGTGGGTGGCAAACCATTGTGTTGTGGTGCACAATACAGGAAGCAGTGGGCTGCTGTATGATACTTAGCTGCCAGCTGTGTTTAAACCATGATGCTCCTTCGGGCAGCCACATCACATCTCATCCCTATTGCCTGTCTGTGTTCCTGCAATCCATCTGATATGTTTTGACTTATCCGCAACAAAGACTGTCTGGTTTTCTTTCCTCTCACATTTTCAGTAACATCTGGCATACCAGCACTGTTGCAAGCTGAAGTTTTCAGCTGCCATTACAACACAACCCTCTCCTCTACCCCAAATCTGACGAAAGTGTGGTCTCTGGCTATTGATTGTGAAATAGACCACACTTGAAAAGGTGAAATGTCCTATATGCGTAATCCTTAATATAGCACCTGCAAGATCTGAATACTCTATACAGCTAGCAAGTTTTTATTTTATGCTAACAGCAACAAAATGACACCCCAAAATACCAAGTATCTTTTTAATTTCTGTCAAAGATGAAAAAGCTGCCTTACAGTGTTGTATACATTTACAATGAAACAGAAAATCAGAACAGATGTAGGAGATGCAAAAGAGAGATAACATACTGAGTTCAAATGACTATAATATAAACATTAGTAGCTATTTACTAATGATTTAATTAACTTTCTCCACCACCACCACCTCAATTTCAGTTCTTTCAGTAGCACATGACAACTGTAGTGTGCATTTTGAAAACACTCCCCCTGCAAATGTTTGCTTACTTAGGGCTAGAGGTGGCTCAGGAGCTGAGGAACACTGTGTGGCACAAGGTAGGTAAAGATACCTTGCTCCACAGGTAAGGCTGAGCAATGTGACACTGAAATGGACCTCAGTCAGACTCTGGGCTATGTGGTGTCTCTCTTCAAAGGCTTTCAGAGCCCCTTCTCTACAGGGGAGCTTTGGTTCCTGTTGGCTGCTGTGCTGCTGTAGATTGCCCTGCCCTTTGCTCAGTCACCCTTTTCTGCTTGTGTGACAGCTGCAGTCACTCTCACCACTTCAGACTGGGACCACTGAAAGGCATCACCTTGCGGCACCTTGTCTGAACCAGCTGTGGAGGCTGCTTCATGGAGAGACCTGTGTTGCTCAGTGGGACTCAGCCAGCACAGAAGTAGTAAATGCATATGTAGTTAATCCTTTTCCTGAAGCCTCTCCTCTTAGTTTACAAATAGAAAAACATGAAAAAAGACTGTTCAGCAACACATTGGTAGTGGAGCTTACTCTTGACATGACAAAAGTCCTCTTCCTGAGCCAGCATCAGTACTTATCCTTCCCTCATAAGTCAATGGAGGTATCAGAAGTCCAGTCACTGTTCTCCGCTGCACGTTTTCTGCATCTGGGATGCAGGCAGGAGAAAAGTACCTATCTACCTTTTGCACTTGCAAAAATAATTTTATGATAGGGAAGAGAAGGGAAGGGGAAGGAGAAGGGGAAAGGGAAGCAAGGGGAAAGCAAAAGGAAAGGAGGAAAGGAAAGGGGGAAAGGAAAGAGAAAGGGAAGGGGAAAAGGGAAAAGGAAAGGGAAAGGGAAAGGGAAAGGGAAAGGGAAAGGGAAAGGGAAAGGGAAAGGGAAAGGGAAAGGGAAAGGGAAAGGGAAAGGGAAAGAGAAAAGGAAGGGGAAAAGGGAAAAGGAAAGGGAAAGGGAAAAGTAAGGAAAGGGGAAAGGGAAGGGGAGGGGGGAAAGGAAGGGGAAGAGGAAGAAAAATGGGAAGGGGGAGGGAAAATGAAAAGGAAAGGGAAAGGGAGAGGGAGGGGAAAGGAAGGGGAAGGGAAAGGAAAGAGGAAAAGAAAGGAAAGGGGGAGGGAAAAAGTAAAGGAAAGGGAAAGGGAGAGGGAGAGGGAAGAGAAAAGGAGGGGGAGGAGAAAGAAATCTCTGTTTTCCATTTGTTGTCCCAGAGGAAAATTTTCCCTGCAAGAAAGTCTTGGGTCTAATTTAACACTGTAGATGTGAGCACTCCTGGCTGGGATAGTATGAGGTCAAAGGCACAAATAGCATAACTTACATTTCTCAGTAGGCCAAGACTGGTTGAATGGGTTCAATGGAAGTGATTTTGAACCCTCAACAGAAGTTATATGATTGTATTTCAGAGAGATGTAATAAAATTTACATACAACAAACATGCTGGTCAGTCCGCAGATCCATAGGCATGAGATTCAGGTTTACATGGCCCATAAGGCTGAAATTCCCACAGCAGTTATGGTTAAGTAGAAATGACCCAGTGTTCAGAAGTACTAAACACTCAAATGTTTTCATCTCTTCAGATTTGCTCTGGACTTTTGAAAATCATGTTACTCTTATTGAGAAACTATGGCATTAGATACCTGCAGATGACTTCTTTGGCAAATGGTATGTTGAGAGGTCTGCCCTCCAAGTTACTGTTATTTTATCCTCTGTGATGGTTACTGTCATGCAAATGGTTACTCCTTCTAACAGGATTTTGCAGAATCTATTCTGGAAATTTCTTCATGCTTTAAGTCGACTCTTAAATAAGTTAAAATCTTGTAAATACTCTTGTATTTAAAGCACTTTAGGAAACTGCACCTTGAAAAAAAATAATTAGAAAGAAGAATAAAAAAGTGAGATGGCAGATTCATGGAGTTATTGTTCCTTTGATCTTCCCAGGTTAAAGGAAAATCTTCCGTAGCCACATAGAAAAAATAACCCATCCATTAACAAAAAGTCCTGATTTATTATTTTCATTACAGTAGGTTTAATTTAATTTGTCATTATGTCTATTTCACATACTTTACTACTCAACACTTTTATTTTCAGTCACTTGTGTTGCTTATAAATGAACATTTGTTAGTGCCAAGTGAATCAGCAGCCCATTATTAACTTTACACAACCTGAAATGCCAGTCTCTCACTTGCTGGGTTGTATGCATATTCAGTAATCCCTGGTTAAAGAATTAAAAACTAGCTTTTCTTTTTTTTTTTTCCCCTCCTTTACGCTTTTGCAAAACAGGAGTACTTTGTTGTTTCTGAAGAACATTATGCAGGTGGTGACCACGCATTTTAATGCCATTCCATTTGGAATTTAATCTTGAAATAATTTGAATAGTGGTTTAAATAATGACTCTCTGAACCTGCTATAGGTGGTCTGGTGGTATCCAAGCTTAGTGGTAAAGAACACATGCAGTTATTTTCCTTTGAAATTAAAGACAGCAGATATTTGACAGGGACTTCTTTAAAAACACCACAGTGGTATGCATGTCAAAAATTTTTCACAGATATGGTGGCCAGCAATGGTCAATACTGTTGAGACAGTTAAGAACCTGTAAGAACAGGCTTGCATATACAGGTTGTAAATCTTCATGCCAAAATCAAGACCCAGTCTTTAAGAGGCTTTCTTATATTCCCCTCCAGAATATTTCCACATTCATCTCAGCCACTTCATAGTATTCAGTATACGAAATCAATGGCAGGTTTGAGAACACTTGTAAACCTGGCAGATGTTTCAGTTGCAGAGCTGGCATTTACGGAGATGCATTGCTGGGGAGCAAAGCAGAACAATTTTTATCCTTCAGAGTGCAAGGAAGAATTGTGAAGTCTGTCTATATCCATCATCCATATCCTTATTAATTAAAAACTATCCTATACTAGTCATTACCACTAAATAGCATCTTCATCATCATGAGGCAGTACTAAGAAAACACCACATGGCATAATCTAGGACTGCTGTGCGGTCTTCCTTCTCGGGAATCACAAAATCTATCAGTAATGACAATTTTTCTTTGAGAAAGGCAGAGCAAATTAAGTGTCAGCATCCTCTTCACTCTGATCACTTTAGGCACAGTCTCTGCCATTTGATCAGTGGCATGTCGATGAGAAAATGAACATGAGCCAGCAGCAGTGTGCACTTGCAGCCCAGAAAGCCAACCGTATCCTGGGCTGCATCAAAAGGAGTGTGACCAGCAGGTCGAAGGAGGTGATCCTGCCCCTTTACTCTGATCTCATGAGACCTCACTTGGAGTACTGTGTGCAGTTCTGGTGTCCTCAACATAAAAAGGACATGGAACTGTTGGAACAAGTCCAGAGGAGGGCCACAAGAATGATCAGTGGACTGGAGCACCTCCCATATGAAGATAGGCTGAGAAAGTTGGGGCTGTTCAGCCTGGAGAAGAGAAGGCTGCGTGGAGACCTCATAGCAGCCTTCCAGTATCTGAAGGGGGCCTCTAAGGATGCTGGGGAGGGACTCTTCATTAGGGACTGTAGTGATAGGACAAGGGGTAACGGGTTAAAACTTAAACAGGAGAAAGTTAGATTGGATATAAGGAGGAAATTCGTTCCTGTTAGGGTGGTGAGGCACTGGAATAGGTTGTCCAGGGAGGTTGCAAATGCTCCATCCTCGGCAGTGTTCAAGGCCAGGTTGGACGAGGCCTTGGATGGCATGATTTAGTGCGAGGTGTCCCTGCCCATGGCAGGGGGGTTGGAACTTGATGATCTTAACATCCTTTCCAACCCTAACTATTCTATGATTCTATGTGTGTAACAGGATATGGAATTAGGTGGGACAATTCATCTCTGGTTCAAAGAGCAAGAAGATAGGTGTTCCCCCGCCAGCGTGTATTCGCTCAAGCCTCCTGAAAGATAAGTCTGTGTATAGACCCTAGCTAGTAGAAGTACTACACAGACAAATGACACAGGTTAAGTATTATGAGGGCAGAAGCATGTTAGTTGTGTTCATCAGTACCCTAAAAACCAGGACATTCTCTGAGGAGATTGACTGCAATTGAATTCTATTCCCTCTGACACAGTGAATCACTTCCTCTTTTATTACAGCAGACACCCTGAAGTTTCAGCTGGTCTCCTTTCTAAACAATACTCAGAGGATGGGTCCCAAACACATAATGTGTGAACCATTTTGAGAGGATGAAAACAATCTGAAAACAATCTCAGTGTTGTCAAGATATATCACGATCAGACTGCTTTTTTCCTCCGTCTGACCATGCTAGGTGCCCAGTCAGGTTTCCCGCAGTACTTCGCTGTACATTTCAGTTTCCTGCTCTGGCTTTTTATTGAACCATCATTTGCCTCCCACATATGTTTCTGGATGGGCAGTGGGCAGAGCAGACTGACATGGGGGGTTTAGCACTGTTTTTCTGAGTGGTTACCTAATGACACAGAGGTGCCATCTCACCACCTCCTTTGTCAGTACAGGAGCTCACTGCTCTGGAAACATCTGTTCCAGGAGAGCTTATGGTAGGAGCTGGAATAGTTTCTTGTCCTTCAGACTGCCTGCAAAGACACATCACGGAGCTGCATGCCCCTGGGCATGAATCTTCTTCACACCTTGGTTAGCATTTTCTCTCCAGAGCAATTTAGCTACAGACTGTCACCTGTCTTGTTGAGACATTTCATTTAAAAAGACCCATTCATGTGTTGCCTGTCATGAACAATGAAAATGCTGCTGCTGCTGGAAAGCCTCATGTACAAGACAGGATAGTGAACCCAAAGTAACCGCCACAATCCATCTGAATGAACCATGACAAGTTGCTCCTGGATCTCAGAGCAGATAGTAGGTCATGTTGCCATCAAGGAAACAACGCTTGGCATGTTCAGCTACTGCCATACCACTTCAGAAGCAGAGAAGGTGATACAGATTTGTTTTGGAACCTCAAACTTTTGTGGACAAAGGCAAAAACTAACCATAGTTTTCTACTAGCATAAGAAAAAAGTCATGTTAACATGGTTCAGAGGACCCAAAATTCATTGCAGTCCTGCAGAGTTATACCTAGAAAGCTCCACCAACGTTGTGGATTTGCAGCTTAATGCCAATGGGATTAATGCAGTGCTCAGTCAGTGCCCATGTGCTTGATAACATGCAGAAACAAATGGAGTTTACACCTTCAAGTCAGCAGTATGGTTTTAAGAGATTTTGTGGCCATGAAGGTTCATTTCCCAGGAGATGGAGAACCAGCACAATACAGCCTGAGTCTGATTTTTTAAAGAAAGAATGACTCATTTGTTTGGGTCATGCTTTATTTAAAAAAGAAGGACTGCATTCCGTACTGCCCATTCTCAAAAGGGACAAATACGCCCTGCACTCCGTTCTGGTAGATCTGATGCAGACACAAGTTATTCCTTGAACAGAAGTCCTCACAAGCATTGTACAGGTGTACCTCTCCAGGAATGGCTAGGCAGCACTCTTGCCTTGCTCCCCAGAATCTGTGTTTTTCCAAAAACCACTTGATTAGAGAGACAAAACCAGGAAAGCCAGACTTTGCAGTCTGTTGTTTATTCAGTCAGATTGATGCTCAGTACAAACAGCTCTGAGCTCCATAGGCTACGGTAAGATTTTTTCTTCACTGATGGCTACAGTAAATCCAGTCATCCTGCTGAAGCTACCTGGAGCTATCCCAGGTTGAGAAAACCAGAGATAGACCACACCTATCCTAGTGAACTTGGCCAGTTTGAGGAAGGGATGGGGATTCTTTTCATACAGCTGTGTGTAAAGATAGTATGTCTCAGATAATGGTGATATAATTGCTACAGAGAGCTACCTGCCTCCCTGATCTGAGTATTTTCATATTTTTTATTATGTCTCCTGTACCATCATTATTGGACGGAATAGTGCACCCAAAGCCCCAGATAACTCTCCTAGGACTTGTAGAGGTGAAATGTTGAGTGATAGTATTTTTGAGAACACAAAAATTGTCTTGGGAAGAGAAATCTGCATTGATGGGAGATCACTTTCCCAGTGTGCAATTCCACTAAAGAAGGGAGTAACAGTAAGTTACCTCCTAGGCTGCCATTCCAGAACCCCCTCATCATCCCAAGTCCTTGGTGTTCTCTGTTTGAGGCAGAAACAGAAAAAAAGTGCAGATATGACCGTGGGAGAATATACTCTTTCAAATAGCTGTTAATGCTGCTTTCAGCTTTGAAAACTTCTTTCCCAAGACACATCTCCACCTTGAAGAGATCACTGTTCCCAGGCTGACATTAAAGGCCAGAGGGTCATTGCACCAAGAGGACTTCAAGCAGCATGACTGATGTTGGCTGTAAACTGGCAGCAGAGAAGACCTGCTCCAGAGCTACTGCTGAGCCACAGGGTGTGCTTAAAGGGTTCAGAATCAGGCCCTTGTTCACTCAGTGAGGCAAGTAGCTGCAGACTCTTGAGAGAAGGGGGAAGGATTTATCTCAGAGATTTGCAGCTTAGTCATTGTGGGGTTTCTTTTTAGATGGAGACTGCCCTCACCTGCCTTCTAGTGCAAAACTGCATGAGTGACAATCAAAGTCAGGCTGATTCCTGGCTTTTGGGAGCACAAGACAGGGCAGTAGATGGCCACAGGAGCATAGCAGAAGAAATTTGGACCTTGTCTTTATTCCTCTCTGCAAAAGATGCAGGACTGAGGTTCCCTCCAGCCACCTCCTGATGCTGCAGCATTCACCCCACCTCACTTGCTTGGCAAGACACTGGGGACAAAGCCAAACAGCAGCACGTTTTCTCATCCTATCACCTCTCTGGGAGTTTTACCTCACACTAGAAGGGTCTGTCCTTTCTTTCCCCTTCACTCCTTCTTTAGCAAGGTTTTTTTCACTTTAATCTCTCACATTTTCCCTTGGCTCTAGTTCTGAAAATTACTCTTCTCCCCATCAGAACCTGAGCCTGTATTTAACAGCTGCTTTACATTAATATGCTTGTATTAAAATGTTCTATGTTGTAACATTCTGATTTATCTATAGATCTTTATTTTTGGAAACCATTGCTTTTTAGAGCTTTCTAATTTATATAGCCATTTGTTTTGGCTGTCAAAACATTTTTAATTTTAATTACTGTGTATCATGCTTCTGGATATGAAACTGTCAGATAAATCTGAGTATCTGCATAAACATGTGGGGAACTGCATGTGTTATCACTCAACAATTGCTAGTGGGCAGTTAGCAAACTTGTCTGGGATCTGTGTTCAGCTGCTGCAAGACAACAGTGATAGGAGGAACTACTGATTGGTTGTCAAACCACGTGCAGTTATAGAATCTTAGAATCATAGAATAGTTAGGGTTGGAAAGGACCTTAAGATCATCAAGTTCCAACCCCCCTGCCATGGGCAGGGACACCTCACACTAAATCATGCCACCCAAGGCTCTGTCCAGCCTGGCCTTGAACACCACCAGGGATGGAGCATTCACAACTTTCTTGGGCAACCCATTCCAGTGCCTCACCACCCTAACAGTAAGAATTTCTTCCTTATATCCAATCTAACCTTCCCCTGTTTAAGTTTTAACCCATTACCCCTTGTCCTATCACTATAGTCCCTAATGAAGAGTCCCTCCCCAGCATCCCCATAGACCCCCTTCAGATACTGGAAGGCTGCTATGAGGTGTCCATGCAGCCTCCTCTTCTCCAACCTGAACAGCCCCAACTTTCTCAGCCTGTCTTCATATGGGAGGTGTTCCAGTCCTGTCATGGCCCTCCTCTGGACTTGTTCCAACAGTTTTATGTCCTTTTTATGTTGAGAACACCAGAACTGCACACAATACTCCAGGTGAGGTCTCACAAGAGCAGAGTAGAAGGACAGGATCACCTCCTTCGACCTGCTGGTCACGCTCCTTTTGATGCAGCCCAGGATACGGTTGGCTTTCTGGGCTGCAAGCACACACTGCTGGCTCATGTTCATTTTCTCATCGACCAACACCCCCAGGTCCTTCTCCGCAGGGCTGCTCTGAATCTCTTCTCTGCCCAGCCTGTAGCTGTGCCTGGGATTGCTCCGACCCAGGTATAGGACCTTGCACCTGGAATGGTTAAACTTCATAAGGTTGGCATCAGCCCACCTCACAAGCCTGTCAAGGTCCCTCTGGATGGCATTCCTTCCCTCCAGTGTATCAACTGAAACACACAGCTTGGTGTCATTGGCAAACTTGCTGAGGGTGCACTCAATCCCACTGTCCATGTCACCAACAAAGATGTGGAACAATATCTGTCCCAACAATCTGTCCCTGAGGGACACTACTTGTTACTGGTCTCCAGCCGGACATTGAGCCATTGACCACAAATCTTTGTGTGCGGCCATCCAGCCAGTTCTTTATCCACCAAGTGGTCCACCTATCAAATTGATGTCTCTCCAATTTAGAGACAAGGATGTCGTTTGGGACAGTGTCAAATGCTTTGCACAAATCCAGGTAGATGACGTCAGCTGCTCTACCCCTGTCCATCAGTTCTGTAGCCCCATCACAGAAGGCCACCAAATTGGTCGGGCAGGATTTCCCTTTAGTGAAGCCATGCTGGCTGTCACCAAGCACCTTGTTGTTTTTCATGTGCCTTAGCATGCCTTCCAGGAGAATCTGCTCCAAGATTTTGCCAGGCACAGAGGTGAGACTGACTGGTCTGTAATTCCCCGGGTCATCCATTTTCCCCTTCTTTCAAAATGGGGGTTATAGTTCCCTTTTTCCCGTCATCAGGAACTTCACCTGACTGCCATGATTTTTCAAATATGAATGGCCAGCAGCTTAGCAACCTCATTTGCCAGCTCCTTCAGGACCCGCAGATGTATTTCATCAGGTCCCATGGACTTGGACACGTTCAGGTTCTCAAGATGGTCTCGAACCAGATCCTCTCCTACAGTGGGCCCAAGGTCTTCATTCTCACAGTCCCTGCGTCTGCCTTCCAAGACTTGGGTGGTGCGGTCAGAGCCTTTGCCAGTGAAGACCGAGGCAAAGAAGTCATTCAGAACCTCAGCCTTCTCCAAATCCTGGGTAGCCAGTTCTCCTGATAGCTTTCGGAGAGGGCCCACATTGTCCCTAGTCTGTCTTTTATTTGCAATGTAATCACAGAATCCCTTCCTGTTATCCTTAACATCCCTAGCCAAGTTTAATTCTAACTGGGCCTTAGCTTTCCTAACCTGGTCCCTAGCTTCCCAGACAACATCCCTGTATTCTTCCCAGGCCGCCTGTCCTTGCTTCCACCTTTTATAAGCCTTTTTTCCTTTGAATTTTCCTCAGCAGCTCCTTATCCACCCAAGGAGGTCTCCTGGCCCTCCTGCTCACTTCCTAGTTGGGATGCAACACTCCTGAGCTTGTAGCAGGTGATCCTTGAATATCAAACAAGAGCCTTGGGCCCCCCTGCCCTCTAGGGCTATATCCCATGGAACCTTACTAAGCAGGTTCCTGAAGAGGCCAAAGTCTGCTCTCTTGAAGTCCAGGGCAGTGAGCTTGCTGCACGCTCTTCTCACTGTCCTGAGGATCTCAAACTCAACCATCTCATGATCGCTACAACCAAGGCTGCCCTGGAGCATCACATTTCCAACCAGCCCTTCCCTGTTGGTGAGCATGAGGTCAAGCATGGCACCTCTCCTTGTCAGCTCCTCTATTACTTGCAGAAGGAAGTTGTCTTCCACACAACCAAGGAACCTCCTGGATTGCTTGCCCCGTCCCTCCAACAGATATCAGGGTGGTTGAAGTCCCCCATGAGAACAAGGGCCTGTGAGCGTGAGGCTTTTCCTATCTGTCTATTGAGTGCTTCATCCACAGAGTTCTCTTGATCTGTAACAGATCCCCACAGTAATGTCTCCCATTGCTGTTCACCCTTTAACCCTGACCCACAAACTCTGTTAACTGCTCACCTGTCCCCAGACAGAGTTCCATACTCTCCAGTCTATCACTGACATAAACAGCAACTCCTCCTCCCCGTCTGCTGGGCCTGTCTCTCCTACAGAGCCTGTAACCTTCCATTCCAACACTCCAGTCATAGGAGCCATCCCACCATGTTTCTGTGATACCTATTATATCATACCCCCTTAAATGTGCACACATCTCTAATTCCTCTTGTTTGTTCCCCATGCTACGGGCGTTTGTATAGAGGCATCTGAGCTGAGCTCCAAATGAAGCCGGCTCATTGGCTGGAGCAGCTGGAATATCTCTACATTGCTCCAAGCATTTATTATAGGTGCTGGCAACTGACTGGGTGTGTTGGGATGGAATGATGCCCCCTCCCCCAACACATCTAGTTTAAAGCCTCCTTGACCAGTCTGGCAAGCCTCCTACCAAAACTGCTCTTCAGACCAGCTCCACCAGCCCCCGCTAGACCTGGCCTACAAACTTGGGTCCCATGTTCAAGACACCCAAACCCCTGACTATGACACCACCCTTTTAACCATTTATTAACCTGGCTAATCCTCCTAGCTTTTTTAAGGTCCTCCCCTTCATCCTGGAGAATTAATGAAAAGACAATCTGAGCTCCAGAGCCCCTAACCACCTCTCCCAGGGCTCTGTAGTCCTTTATGTTCTCTGGACTACTGCTATCTATATCCCTAGCACCCACATGTATCACCAGAAGAGGGTAATAGTCTGTGGGACTTACTAGAGCAGGCAGCCTCTCTGCAACATCCCTGATCTGTGCCCCAGGTAGGCAACACACCTCCCTTGAGACCGCGTCAGGCCGACAGACGAGTGCTTCTGTCCCTTTCAAAGTAGAGTCCCCTACTACTATAACCCACTGCTTTTTCCTGGCAGCACCAGTAGTGATCTTCTTTAGCAGTGCACCAGCTGGTTGTTCATGTTGAGAGGTGTGTGTTTCCTCTTTAGCCCCCTGCAGAAGTGCAAAGTGGTTTTGGGTGGGGACAACAGATTTAGGAGGAAGCCCCTTGCTTTTAATTGTCCTCTTCCTCCTTTTTTTGTCGTTTTTTGTTTTTTTTTTTTTTTTTTTTTTTTTTACTATTTCCCAGCTCCCTGGATTAATGGCCTCCTTCTTTCCTCCACGAGCTACGATGGACACTTGAGGCCCCTGCACAGTTTGGGCCTGGAGCAAGCATTCCTGCTTCCTCTCGGCCTCCTTTACATCTTTTAGCCTATTAACAGCATCCCGCAGCTCAGCCCTTACTGCAGGAGGACCTCCATCAGGGAGCACCCAGTGCAGCCCTGCCCATTGTGCACCTTTACCTCACCAGACCAGTGCAGGCACTCTCTACACCCCGAGCTCTGCGCTGCAGCCTCCCCTCTCATCGGCTCTGTCTGGGTGCCTACGCTGCCACCGCCGGGGCAGCCAGAGCAGAGCTCCCAGACCGGGCCCTGGTCGTAAGGTGACTGTTCACCATCCCGCTCGAACTGCCGCGCCCCGCTCCTGGTGGCCCGCGCTCCCTGGGGCAGGTTTTTACCCAGTCAGGGCTGGTGCCGCTCCTCCTGGCTCCGCCCCCTGTGAGTCCCTGCTCGCGCCAGCGGAGCTGCCGGCTCCTGGGCAGGTCCTGTGGAGGGCTTGAGGCTCCCTCGGTGGCTCTTGTCGCTCTGAGTTGAGGCTCCTGGACGCTGAGCTCCCCCTGCTCAGGTGTTGAAGCATCGCCCTCTCCGAGCTACTCACCTCAGCAAGGTCCTTGGCTACAACGTGTCAGACTGTTCAGACGGCACAGCTGCTCAGCAAAGTAGCATCACAGCCAGCTTCACTCCAGTCAAGCAAAGCTGAAATGCTCATTTGGCAGACAATAGGTTTGTTCTGTTTTTAAGCGAAAAAGTGGCATCATTTGCTGTATTGGGTGACCAGTATACAGGTGGCCATAGCTGTCAGCTCCCTAGGAGCAGAAAATGGTGTTTGGCCTTTTCAACAATGGTATTTTGGCATGCAGTGACTGGAATCCCCCTTCTCATGCCTAGGAGAAGGAGAGGAGGTCTACAGCGCCAGCAGCTCTGTGCTGACCCCTTAACAGAGCACTGTGAGCGGTCACTTATGCCTGCTCAAAGT